CTACGGAAAGTAGTCCCTGGAACTGTGGAACTTGTGAAAGTAGCATGAACTTCATGGCTGAGACCATAAAACCATTGAAGTTAGTGTCAGAAAATTATTGCCTTGTTATTTCCAGTAGCATTTAATATAGCAGGTGAGAGACTTCTAGTACAAAATGTAGTTTGCACAATAAAAGACTTTCTTGCTACACAAATACATTTTATATATTTATAAAAATAGTATTTAATGTGGGTTGCTGCCTCAGAATGCTACCAGTTAGAAAGAAAATTTCTGTTACAACCAGTGTAATGAGATTTCTGATGCAATGTTTGAAGGTTGGGTATCTACCTTTCCTAAATTTAATCTGTACAGTGGTTGGTGGTTTTATGCCTACACGAGAGAAGGAAACAAATACAGGAATGTCCAAATCCAAATACAGGGCAGCCATAGTTCAGTTTTCTACAGTCGGGCAGTTTTTCCTCAGCAATTATGAAAGGAATATATGAAATTTGAATCTGAATTAATTTTATAGATTTGTAATGTCTCATATTGATCAGCATTTCTTCTAAAACGTATCTGTATATCAAAGACTTCTATTTTCTATAGGGAAGAACCTTACATTTTTAATCTCATGTGGCAACTTCAATTCTTTTTAAGGAAGCAAGTAAATAAAGGGGAGTAAAAGCAACAGCAGCAGACAGCAGTGTCAGGCAGTGTATCTTTATTTAATTTCAGAGCAAAAGTTGTATGTATCTAATAACTGCATCTTCAATATGTAGAGAACATATTGCGTCCTTACACATTTAACAATTACAAAGAATATTTCACAGTGATTCCTACTTTGAAATGATTTGGATAATCCAGGACTGGTGTTTGTATTTCTCTCTACTTCAGGAATTCACTTTATTCCAGATTGTATGCTAAAACTGAAGATAAGATTGACATCAGATACTGTACCATTTGCAGTTTGAAATAACATCCTGTGGCTGTCTTTGTTTCCTTATCATTTAACATTTTCTTCCTTCCTGCTCTGAAGCATTGGCGATTTTGAAGTATATGGAAGCCTACCTTGAAGGACTACAATATACTGTTGAATGCATTTGTAAAATATTTCTGAAACAACTTGTTAATTAAAACATTACGTTGATACAAATGATGGTGTTCTGTTTTGATATTTTATAAAGACAACATTAATGAATGCTAGAGAATGTAGGGAAACCAGTGCAGAACTGTGGGGACACTGGAGCAGACAATGATAATGTAGTTTTACAACATAAGACACTTGGAACAGATTTGACCACACTGTGAAATACAGCGTTTCCTCACTGAAACAGTCTGTTTTAATCCTGTTGAAAAATGACATAATATCTTGCATCCCTGACTCATAAAGCACAAAAGGAAAGACACTGAATATCATATTAAGGAGCTACAAATTATCATGCTCTGTTGGATCAATGATCATCTAGAAGGTTCATCTTCAAGAAATTACAGCAGTAAGAAGTGCTTTTTAATAGCTTATTTTTCAACAACTGCATATAGTTATTTTCTCTTACCTTCCAGAGAGATACATTTAAGTTTTGTAAAGACATACACACATAGCAATTTGTGATAAACTGCATTTTCAATAGTCATTACTTCCATTTTGAATGTCTATCTATATGAGTTTCTCATCTGAACTGATGATTAGAATATTCTGTCCTTAGGAATAGTATAGGATTCCAGCATGGCTACTATTACTATAGTGGTTGCTAACTGAAGTAGTGATTTACTGCATATTGTGTGGACTAGACCCACGGAAGTCTTTGTGATAGTGTTCTTTATAATACTTATCACAACTATGACATCCAAAATCAGTCTTGATGCATCTGGATCTAAGTGGAATTGGTGTTAATATGATTAGCTAAGTTTCTATGATTTGTGCTGTTTTCTCAAGATGCAAAAAAGAAAAAAAGAGGCAGGGATGCGAGGAAGACATTTAGAGGTTGGAAAACAAATCTCCAGACAGTATGCATTTTATTCTTCCTTAAGTCCTGGCATGACGTATACAGGTTTTCACTATTCTTGATAGACAACACACATACTTCTAGCTCTGCACTGATCCAAGTTGAGAGCTAAAACTGGGAAAGATACACTGTCAAGATGCAGCTAAAGTCCGCAGAATGGAGGACAGCAGGAGAAGTAGGAGACTTCATGAAGAAAAATTAATTTCTTGCTGGAAGCACCCAAGAGGGTATCAAATACCTGACATTAATTGTTCAGGTTCAGCTCAGCAGGTTTGACCCACATTGATTTTAGTGATATTAAGATGCACATATTTACAGAAGAAAAAAACCCTAACATAAAGTGAAGACCAAAGACAAAGGAGTGGGAAGTATAAAAATATCTTTCTTGAAGTGGTTGCCCCTCCCTAGGTTGGCCAGTTGTCAGGCATGACATCTTGCAATACTGAACTGAGACTTCAGCCTGATTTTGCTGGGACTGCAGCCTAATTACAGGAGTTTTTAGATGTCCCTTAGCTAATCGGTCACTCCATAATCAGATATCCAGTGGATCATGATTCAAAACTACTTTGAACAAAGCATTGCTCAAGAGTACTGGAACTTACCATAATAATTGTCATGCTTAAAGGCCTCTGAACAATAGTTCAGAGTTCACTGAACACTGAATCACTCACTGCCTTTCATTTGAATTTGGCCTACAATAAACATTTTTGAGTATCTGTGAAGAAATCCCAAGCAATCTTTAACACTTCTTCACTAACACTTCTTCAGTGGTGGAAGGGGAAGCAGAAACTGGTTTTCAGTTTTATGGGTGGTGTTCTGTACTGAGGTGACACAGCTAACGTGACAGAGATCCTCAAATATACATCCAGTAATACTCATATAAGCAGTAATAAAAGAGGATGATACCACAGAATATGAAACACACTTGAGTTCAGGAAATGGCACAATTCGGGAAATAGCACAGAACTGAACATGGTACTTCCTTTAAAATAAATCACCACCATCCAAAATCCCAACAGAACACATTTTCCTTTTCCAATATATGAGGTAATTGGTAAGTGCATACTGAGAGAGAAGGAACATGGATCCAGTTTTGCTATAATTCAGGTGGAACATTCAAAGAATCCCAAGATCTGTTAGGAATGCTTGGCTTGGTCTGGCAAACCTTGCAGATTAAAGAGCATTCATGGTCTTTACATGGAAAACAGTATAAGAGAAAAAAGCCAGCCTTCACTCGGAACATTCAACTATAATGCCGATGTCAGAGATCTCAGAAATTCTCGCAGGAACACTGAAAGCCAGGACATGCACATTAAGAATCTTCTTTGCCACATGCCATCTGCCCTTGAAATAGTGAGCTGAGAAATAAGAACAAATGACTGCAGCTGAGTGTATTGTGCCAACTTGAGAAAAAGGGAAATATAATTCACTTAAGTTGTCATGTGGATGAAACTCTTAGCTGGTATTTTTAATTAGAAACAACAGCAAGTGCTCAAGATGCGCAGGACGTGCAGGAAGCCTGCCTTCTACTATTCTGAATAGGTGGATAAATTAATTTCACTTCTACCAAGTCTCCATAGTTTGGGAAATGATCAAAATTTGAGTCCTCTCTCGCACAGTCTAAGTGAGGAAGTGAAACAAGGAAACTGCACATTCATTTGTGATTCTCAGTGTAACCAGGTATCTCACAGTAAGATGCTGCAGTAGCTACTGAGAATGCACCATTTCTTTACAGTTGTATCTCGTCTTTTCCAACTCAGCTGACTTTTAACAAACATTGCACTGAATTCTAAGTCACTCAGAAGGTTAAACATCATGATACAAGAAGCTTACAGGCAGCTATTAGCATGGGCAAACAGGGAGTAGACAGTAGGGGAAAGTTAAATAACTGCTGCTTCCCTGGCTATGGTGTAGTCCAGAAAATGGATGGTCACTCATAAAAACATTGCATGCTGCCACTACCCTTTCCAACTTCAGCATGGCATTAGGAGTAACTGTTCTCTCCTCTGCTTATCACTCAGGAGTGACGAGTTCCAAGGATCTTTGGGGATCCTTTCGGGCAGCAAAGTTCAATTATGTCTACATATCAAAAGATGGTAAAAAAAGGATTTTTTTTTTTTTTTTTTTTTTTTTTTTTTTTTTTTGTATTATGAAAGGGTTGGATATACTTAGTCAGAGCAAAGTATACCCACTGCAGCTGGCTAACTTAATGACCATCTTTCCTGCACTGCCTAAAAAGTGATACAGAGAAGAGGTTTTTGGCACACTGCAACTGGAGCAGTAGAGACACAAATGGTTTTGGTTGTGTCTGTAGATCAGAGGTCTGCACTGTGATAACAAGAAAGATTAAAAAATTAATATTTCTATTCTACTAGGAACTGTAGAGGGAGATATTGACTTGAAAGGCTGTGCAGGAATGGTGCTCTCTCCAGAGAGGATACCAGCTGAAAGGCATGGTCATCAGTCCCTTTACAATGACAGCAGAACTGTCTGCTTCCCCACAAATAATGTAAGCTATAAAATTGTCTTGGACAAGGTGCATGTAGCAGTCTTCAGAAACCAAGAAAGTACCTGCAGTTTAATCTGACTCCTGTGGTAGTTATTCTCCTGCTACCTTGGTAGTGGGAAGTCAGGTTATGGCTGTGTTTACACTCCATTTTCTTACAGGTTTGCACTTTCAGATGTTTTGTTGAAGGAGGCTCACTGAAGTGAACAGGCAGTAGACAGCACTTTATTGTTGCAGTCTTCACTACAATTGCCTTAATACAAAGTCCCGATATTGTCTCACAGAGCTAAAATATTTTTTTAGATGTGAAAAGGGTCAGATAAATGTGCTATTAAATGCACAAATAAAAACCAGCCTTTTTAAAATTATTATTAATTTCATTGACTACTACAGACACTACAGATTCTTGTTTTGGCTAGCACAAATAAGCAAATATACTGTCACACTTCTGTAAATCTCTATGTAAAATGTGAGACATGCCGTTTTTAAACCTCCTGTTTTATTTACCACAGCTCTTATTTCTTCAAAGTCTGCTAAGAAATGAACACTACCAAATTCACCATAGCTCTCCTTGAGCTGGAAGCCAATGCCAGAAAAGTGCCTCATGGGGGACTAGCCCTAAATGCAAGTATGCTAGCACTGCTTCTGGCAATTCTGTAACAAATCTACTCCACAGACAAATCAGAATGGATGTGGATAACTGTGTAAAAGAAGAAAAGGCTGTAGACACTTCATTATGATCTTATCCAGCCTATGACTATTCAGTGAAACATACTTCTTGCTCTTGACTTATTACTGCTCATTTTTGCTGCCCAAAAAGTGTGATCTTTGTTTAAAAAAAAACTTGTCAGAACCACATTTTCACGGGTATCCAAAAACATGCTTGGAATATCAAGCTGGAAACCTCATGAGGAAGGTCTAATATACACTTATGTGAGTTAAACACAATTTTAGAAGAATCCAAATGTAAACCTGGATTTTGAGATGAGGCTTTCAATAGAGAGGCAGACTGGTAATACCAAATTTCAACATTACAGATCCTGCTCACAAGCTATAGACTCACTTTTCTGAATTTTTATCCTCTGGTTTCTTTAATAATTTTCATCTTCAGGGAATCAACACAGCATCCAGAAGAGATAAAACAGACATAAAATACAGACATTAAAACAACTGTGCTGATACATGACTCTGACCACTTAATCCATTATTAAGTCAAGAAATATCTTCTACAATTACAGCCTGGTTTAAGGTACCTAAAGATCTTTAAGGAATCCTTAATTCTTTTTTTATGAAAGACAGATGCTTGAACCTGTAAGATGGTTGACTTAAAATCTCTGGCTGACATTAAAAAATTTCATTGGTTTATTCTCTGGGTGATGTTTGTATTATAGCAATATGTTTTCTAATGTCTTAATTGATCATGGTCTTAATTCTTGAAAAGAAACTACTAAAAAACTGGAAAACATAATTAGTGTAGAGAAGAGACTTATCTCAAATATCTACAGAGGTTGTTCCAAACACTGAAGCAAAGCATTTGCGCTGTGGGAGCCTGCAAACTTGTCATATATATTATGGCCCTTGACTTAAGCCAAGCTTCAAAATATACTCTTTCCCCTCCACACCCTTTAAAACACACAGGCATGATGTTAACAATTCAAGGAGTGGGAAAACTGAACATCATAATCCTGCCTATGCCCATTCTATTTTGCAAGCCACTGCCAAGTGCTTCCCAGAAGACAATTAAAAGAAGAATAGTACTACCACCAACTGTACTGAGGAGGATTTACACCACCAAATAATTTCTCTCTACATCACTTCTTTAGTCAAATATACTATGGGTGATTTATGTTTTGCTGATTAAGGATACCAATTAAACTCAGACACCAGAGTGGAAAGAACAGGTGTATTTTACTAGTGATAACCAGTGTAACAGTGTAATACAGAAAACATGCAGTTAGAAAAAGCAGAATAGTGCACTTAGAGCAGCAAAAAGGAAAAAACAGGGTAATGCATTAAATCATGACTACACGAGAGAATGGAGATTAAGAAAAATACATCACCACTTGCATATATTACCATCACCCAGCCCCGCAGTGGCTGGGCAGCCCTGGTTACAGCGAGGGTTTGGAGAGCCTGTCCCGGCAAGGGGGAAATCCTACGTGGTGTGTCCACCCATAGGTGTGACGTGCGGAATCACACTCCACAATCTGATAGATTGTAAAGTAGGTATGTTTATTCAGCGCTGGGCACACAGGGGATAGCTCCTCCTATTGTGTGCACCCGTTATAGCATTGCTACCTTGCTTTTATAGAGTAAATGATTACATATTCATAATATTTTGCAATACGCCTATACATATGCATTACCTATCCCCGCTTCGTATTTAAATTAGCATTTCCATGATCTCCTCCCAGCTGAGTCTGCGCAGTGTTTTCTGGTGGTGGTCGTGGGGGTCTTTGGGGATGAAGTCACGCTCCTCTTCCTCCCGTCCGATTGTAACCCCAGCGTTTCGCGCAAGCTCAGTTGTTCGTTGGCCATTATCTAAACCGCAGACCTAGCTCTAACTGGTTTTGTGCTATCTATATATTTCAGCACGTCCCGTTATACATACCATCTGCAAGGCAAGGACTCCCTATCTTGACTATTCTTGATTTATTATATTGTTCATTATCCACTCATCCTGCAAGGCAAGGACTCCTTATTTTAACTACTCACTTTTACCTCATCCTACTTAGCTTGTGCCTTGCATCA